AGTTCTTATATAGCAGTCAGAATCTTACTCTTTATTTTTAGTGTTTACTTATTATTTATTTGAAAAGCAGAGCTACAGAGAGGCAGAGAGGGATGAAGAGCGATCGCGCGCGCTCTCTCTCTCTCTCTCTCTCTCTCTCTCTCTCAGCTGCTGCTTCAATCCCCAAATGTCCACAATCCCCAGGGCTGGTCCACGCTGAAGTCAGGATCCTAGAACTCAGTCTGTGTCCCTGTGTGAGTAGCAAGGATCCTGAGTACTTGATCCCTCACCTGCTGCCTCCCAGGGTCTGCATTAGCAGGAAGCTGGATCATAAGTGGAGGCAAGACTTCATCCCAGGCACTCCAACATTGGATGTGGGTACTCACAGAGAAGACTTAACCAAGTGTACCACAACACCTACCCATTTTTATTCTCTCTTTCTTTCTTTCTTTTTTTTTTTTTTTACGGTTTATTTATTTGAAAGATAGAGTTACAGACAGAGACAGAGAGAAAGGTCTTCCATCTGCTGGTTCATTCCCCAAATGGCTGCAATACCTGGAGCTAGGCCAACCCAAAGCTAGGAACAGGAGCTTCTTCTGGGTCCACCATGAGGGTGCAGGGGTCCAAGCACTGGGACCATCTTCTGCTTTCCCTGGCCATAGCAGAGAGCTGGGTGGGAAGATAAGCAGCCAGAACTTGAACCAGCACCCATCTGGAATGCCAGCACTGCAGGTGGAGGCATAGCCTACCATGCCACAGGTCCAGTCCCCATTTTTTCTTTTTAATCCTGTGAATTTGAGATGGAAAGCTGAATGTTGGTGAACTTTGTGAACAAGCTGTAACTTTCTTCATTTAGCAAGACCCAGTCTGTTTTAATTTCTATTTGGTGTGTTTTTATTTTTGCTAGATACGTAATAACTTCCTATTTGTGGGGTACAGTGTGGCACGTCAGTACAACGTGCAGCAGACCTGTTGGGGTGACTGGCATATCCATCAGCTCAGACATTTATCATTGCTTTGTGTTGAGACATTCAGATCCTCCTTATGAGCTATTTTAAAATATTCAGTTAATCGTAAGCCACAGTTATTCCTCTGTCCTCCTGCACCCCTGTACACAGTAACTGCCCCCTCTCAATCTTACCCAAGACCATTTTTTGGAAGGATTTTAACAGAGCTGATTAAAGTCAAGGTTTGGTTTGGGCTGAAAATACCTAAGCTGATTTTAGAACATGTACAAATCCGCTAATCTCTGTGCCTCCCAGTGTGGCTGAGAACACAGATCTGCTCCTGTACCTTTTGGAGCAGACAGACACCGTAGTGTTGTCTGTGTCGTTGCCTGGAGCTTCTCAAACCCGACACAGGCCCGAATCCACGTCCCGACATCTTTTCAGAGAAACAACCCGTGTCACTGTGGCCACATCATAGTGTTTGAAAAATGTAGACTGAGGGGCCAGCACAGTAGCACAGTAGGTTCATGTTCCCCCTGCAATGTCCGCATCCCATATGGACGCCAGTTCTAGTCCCAGATGCTCCTCTTCCAATCCAGCTCTCTGCTATGGCCTAGAAAAGCAGTGGAAGATAGCCCAAGTCCTTGAAACCTGGAAGAAGCTCCTGGCTTCAAATCGGCACAGCTCCAGCCATTGTGGCCATTTGGGGGGTGAACCAGTGGAAGGAAGACCTTTCTCTCTCTCTTTCCCTCTCGAATAAAAAAAGAAAATCTTAAAAAAAAAAATGTATCCTGAAAACTGAATGGTGAGAATGTCTCACGTTTAGGGTTGTGAACGGCTCGTTACGAGGCGAGCTTAGAGTGGGAGCTTGATCCACCTCTGCGTCCGCTGCCTCGGTGTTGCAGGGTTCAGGCTGCACGGCTCGCCCCACGCTTGCCATCTCATGCTGGTGAATCTGCCGCGCCCTGCGCTGTCCCGGACGCCTCCCTCGCCCCTGGCCCTGAGTGCCTCTCGTGGGTCCCTCCTCCCTCTCAGGTCAAACCTTGCAGCCATCACTGCCCCCCTCCCCCCACAGCTGATCCCACGAGTGCTGTTGTCGGTAGACACCCAGAAATGTCTTGCTTCTCGGTCTCCTTGCCGTCCACATGCCCTGTCGCCGTAGCAGTGGCTCCCTGTGTCCTGCCTGTTTCTGCGTAGTGCATCCCTCACACCACAGCCAGGATCACTAACGTGTCACCGGTGCCCTTCCCCCTCAGCTCTGTCAGTGGCTTTTCACACTGTCTCCATCAGCCCAGATCCCGAGTGGCTTTTCACACTGTCTCCATCAGCCCAGATCCCGAAGAGCCTTTTCAACTGGCCTCCTATCAGCCCAGATC